AGGTAAGGTTTTTCGTTTGTTTTTTCCCGCCCCCCCGCCCCCCCGCCCCGCGTCCCGATATTTGACTTGGGTGATCTGGTCACCCTAAGGATATGGAACTTGGGGAGGAGGGGAGGCGATTGTACAGTGGATGCAGTGGCGGTCTGTACTCTTGTTGGCTTTCCTGCAGCTCCACCAGATGCCTGAGTAGGTCTGTTTGCTCCCCCATTAGCTTCAGCATTGCATCCTGCCTCTTATCCCGCTCACTTAATGCTTTTCTGGATTCTGCCACTGAATGCCTCCATGCATTCAGCTGTGCCCTATCAGTGCGGGAGGACTGCATGAGCTCAGAAAACACGTCATCATGAGTGTGGGTTTTTTTGCCTTCTAATCTGCAATAGCCTCAGGGATGGAGATGATAGAGGGAGCATTGAAACATTTGCACCTGCGGGGGGTGGGGGGGGGAAGAGAAAAAGGGAGAGTAAAATTTAAGAGGATACATTTCTGAGAACAAGAGGGAGACTCTTTCACAGTGAATCAAGCAATTCACAGCAGACAGCACATGTGCTTTAGGTACAAGATCACATTTTGCCTTTTATATTTAGTGCCTACCAGTATGGTGACATCACACATGGCTGGGCAACAGAATTCTGTTTCCAGGCAGCCATGGTAAGCCAAAGGATATGCAGGTTTGGCTTCTAACACCTTCATAACATGTAGGAATATTTTCAAAGTGCAGTGCCCTCCTTTCCCATAGCAAGCAATGCCGGTTGGGTTTGCCATTTAAAAGGAGGGGCTGCGGTTTTTGGGTGGATATGCAGCACACACCTTCCCCACCCCTCCGCATCGCTATTTGGGATGATCCCTTTGCCCCTCCCCCTGCCGCGTGGCTATTTTCAGGTATGATCTCTTTTAGCCAAGAGCAAACAGCCCAGCATGAATAGGGTCCTTTTACTGTTTGCTTACAAAAATTCCCCTATTTCAACCAGGTGACCATGAATGATCTCACTCTCCTGAGGAGAGCACAGAAAGATATAAACCAAATGTTGCTTGAATGCGACCAAAACCCAGGACCATTCGCTGCCATGCTTTGTGCTGCAATCATTCCAGACTACTTGCTACTGGCTTAGTGTGGCAGAGTGTCCTACCATGGAGGATTAAATAAGGCAGCCCTCCCCAGAAACCTTCTGCGAAGGCTTTCAGAGTACCTCCAGGAGAACTTCATGGAGATGTCCCTGGAGGATTCCTGCTCCATCCCCAGACACATTTAAAAAAAAAAAACCACACAGACTTTTCCAGTAGCTGTACTGGCTGTAAATGCATCCCAAATCTTCAGGGCAAATCAAACATTAAACAAAAATTGCTTTTAAACCCTGTACTGTAGTTACAAATGTGCACTCACCAGAGATGCCTTCTCCAGCTTCAGGGTCCAGGTTCCCACCTTGAGACGGTATTGGCTCCAGGGTGATGAAAAGATCCTGGCTGCTGGGGAGAACAGATTCACTGCTTGCCTGCTGCACACTCTCCTCCTCATACACAAAATCCTACTCTATGTTGTAGGACACCCCCCACCCCTTTGCAGGTGTCCACAGACAGTGGTGGGGGGTAGTGGTAGGGTCCCCCCCTAGAATGCCATGCAGCTGATCATAGAAGCAGCATGTATGGGGCTTTGACCCAGAGCAACTGTTTGCCTCCTTGGTCTTTTGGTAGGGTTGCCTTGACTTTCCCACAGCACTGCTGTGTGTCCCTGTTGTATCCTGTCCATCATGCCCTGTGTGATTTTGGTATATATTAGCATTTCTTCTTTTTGATCAGAGTTCTGCCTGCCCAGATTCTTCTCACCATACAGCAATCAAATCCAGTATTTCCTGTTTGCTCCATGCTGGAGCTAGTTTGTGATTCTAGGGGGACTGCATAGTCACCTGTGCTGCTGAGCTCACCACACTGACCAAATAGGAAATGAAATTCAAAAGTTCCCAGGGCTTTTCCTGTGTACCTGGCTAGTGCATCGGAGTTGAAAGTACTGTCCAAAGCGGTCACATTGGAGCACTCTGGGATAGCTCCGGGAAACCAATAACGTCGATTTGCATCTGCACTACCCCAAATTTGACCCAGCAAGGTAGATTTTAGCGCTATTCTCCTCAAAAGAGAAGTATAGATGTCAATTTTAAGAGCCCTTTAGGTTAATGGAACAGGGTTGGTTGTGTAGATGCATTCATTATAAAAATTGACCCAACGTGGCTAAGTTTGACCTAACCCTGTAGTTTAGACCAGGGCTATGCATTCCTTCTTTGTGGAGGATAGCCAAACTTCTGGTTTGGATTTTCTTTGGAGTAGCTTTTGTTAGTTTACCAATATGTTTGTTATTGTACATCCACCCATATAGGCCTGTCCAATTAATGCCCAGGGAGAAATCAGAGTCAAAGTTCACCAGATCCAAGATTTCCATAGCCACTTCTATTTCCCAATGCACAAAGAAAAAGAATACTAGTTTAGGGGTATGTAGTATGGAGACATTACACATACATTTTTGGACCAGGGGGATCTGAATGAAATTTGTTTTGCCATATTACAGGTTCCGAACCCACACCACAGAATTCTTGCCATTAAAATATACCTTGGTGGTAGAATTAACAAAACAATACAAATGTATCAATAAAACTCAAACTGATTATTAGAGAACCTAACAAAAAAATAAACCTGATGCATTGGGGGACCAAAAGGCTTTTGGACAGAGATGGATATGATTGATAATTTGGTTGGAGATGGGTGAGGGGGGAGGGGAGGGAGTAGAGAGAGGAAAAGGCATTCACCCTTTCTAGTATAGTATCTTCTCTCTCTGGACCCAATGCTAGCACAGGACACCCACCAGAGAGACACAGAACATGCAATACAGACTTTGTCACGACACTATAACCATGGTATTTGTATAGCTTTTCAGCTGGTACCAGCTCTCCTGATGTTCCAGTTCAGAGACTGAAAGATAGAAGCTTAGAAACAAATGAGTACAGTGCTCCCACCATGGCAGACCCCGCTTGTTTGAGTTGTCTGCGGTGTACCCATTTTCCCTCCAGGGTTTTATCTATGCCACCCTGGGTTTTTGCTAACTTTATTGCTTGCGCGGGAGTCAACTTGGTCTCTGCCACAGTGTGTCCGGTACTTGGGGCTGCACAAATGCTCATCAAATAGTGCATTTCTTGTGGGTTTAAGTCCTCCCTTTCTCCCAGGGAAAGGGCATTAACACTTCATCTAGAAAAATGTTCCTGTTTTAAAATCCCCAGCCACTTTGCCATGGCCTGGAGACCTGAGGCAGAAGCAGGCACTGTTACTGTTTCACTCCCACCGCCCTCTCTCCTGGTTGTGACTGTTCTTTGTTACTGATGCAATAGCATTTTGGCCCTGGGAGGAGGAATCTATCCAAATGTCCTGTTCCCAATCTCCAGAGGGATCCCAAAAGTCTGCCCCTTCTGGGGTCTCAAGTGTCCCTTCTCCCGATGTTACTACTGCAATATGTCTATTTGCAAATTGCAATTTTTGTTCCAGTTGTTTAATGAGTGATTTACAGCTGTTATGGTCGGGGGGGGGGGTCTCTCCCCTGTTCTAAAGTTAACTTGACTATTCCCTGTAATACCCGATTTTTTTTTCCTCTTCAATTTCCTCCTTTTCTTTCATATCTCCTGTAAGATTTGAGAGTGCTGCTTTAACTCTCTGTAAGCATCTTTAAGAGCATCTAACTGTATGTTCATTAGTACCCAAACCCATTTCCATTTCTCTGCTTCTGCAGCAGAGGCTTGTAAATCTTGGTGCAGTTTCCATTTTTACATTCAGCCAATTGAAGGAATACCTCATTACAGGTTTTCTATAGAAGCCACAGTGCAGCTGCTTCTTTTTTCATTGGAGTTGAGGGGAGATTATATAAAGTACCTAGCCAATTTGTCTTCTAGGTCTGAAATTGTACAGACATCAGCTAGCACTTGATCAGACCAAGGGCTGTGTCTGAATTTTTGCAAGATTTGTTCAAGAGGAGTAACATCTTTTAAAATGCCAATTTCTTGGTCTCCTCTCTGGGAGCCTTCTTACAAGACTGCTTATGTTTGAACGTTTTCTAGTCTCCTTTACTCTTGTTTATCAATACCTCTTTTCCTGGAGAGAGAAATTTAATTCTCTTCCCTTCTTTCTAATGCCGGCAACTCTACAATTGGGGGGG